ATGCTATGCAATCATTCCACCCTGAAAAAGAACAATTCAAAGAAATCATTAAGAGGCCAAAATCTCCTTGAAATTCTTGTGCATCATTAGTGTCTGAAAACGTCTGGCCACAACTGTAAGCTGGGAGTAGTAATAGTTCTGCAACCACACCTTTCATCATCATGACACATGCCTGCCAGCAGTCTGTTGTTAGTCAACAGAAATATACTGAATCCCTTTGTTGCCAAATAAGTATTAATAATGTGACTTAAAATATAAATAAATAAATACAAAAGCTTTATCGGTTAGAAACAATAGTAGCACAGTGGTGATGCAGTGATTTACTTAAACATGCAAACATACATGGAAATACAGTACATAAAGAAATAACTAAAGAATTTGTACATACAGTACTTTCCTTCATTTATTATTTCATCAATTTTGACAAAAAACACCTCTGTGTTCTAAAGACGGCTGTAGGGACTCACTGTTGTACCTCTGCTTACCTCTTCTGTACAGATTGACAACTCTTCCCCCCTACCTTGTTCAAATTTTTACACATTTTTTGTCCTTCCTTGAGAATGTCTTCTTCACAGACACCTTTTCCCTCCCATTTACATTTCTAATCGTACTTCAATGAACAGACTCAACTAAAGGGCCTATTTCTTGACTATAAAATACTGTTCATCTGCTGTAGTTTCTTTTTAGGCTTTTCGCTTCTACTTTTGTTCTACACTTCAACTTCAACTTTTAAGAAATATCCTGCGCACAATGCCAAGGTATGCACAACTATTTTAAGTAATGTAACTATTTGGCTAATAGCTATTTGATAAACACCTTGTTGGTGTGAAAATATTAAAATATTATTTTATGGCTGTCAAACTGTGTTATATTTTGCATCATATATTATATTTCTGTCATGATCCTGAGTCTGTGACTCAGTGATTTTGTGTTTGGTGTATTTATTGTTATTATTTTCATTATTATGTGTGAGCTGTTTTGGGATGGTCTGTGTTTTGGGATTTTAGCAACACGTTCTCACTCCCAAAGCGTCACATTTTAGGCTAGGTGACAAATCGTCAACATATTACGTTTTCGGCTACCCACCACGTTCCTAAATGACACATGTTCGCTCTTTTTCTTCAAATCGCTTAGAAACACGCTATTAACATAATTAAAGTCATGGTTAAGGTCAGGAAAAAGGTTATGGTTAGGGCTAGGGATAAGGTTAGGTTTAGGGCTGGAATACAGGGCTGGAACGTCTATTACCGCGGGAGCGTCATTGCACTGGATTTCAGCCATAACCCGCCGCGTACCATAAGAACGCCGAAGGTCTCCTTTCGCGTTCCTCAGGCACGCCGCGGGACGTGACAAAACGTCGGCATGTTACGCCTCGGGAGTGAGAACGGGCTGGATTTTAGATACTGGGTTTCTGGGTTGTGCTCCCTCTGTTGGTCCCTGGTGTTAGTATTCCCCTGTCTCGTCAGGTTAATCAGGTCCAGCTGTGTCTCCCACCTGTGGGTGATTTCCCAGTGTCCCTCTGTGTATTTATAGTGTGTTTGCCTCTGTTCCTGGTCGCGTCGTCTGTGTTCATTCCCTATGTTTCTCTACGTCTCCCTGTTCTGCCGTCCTCATCTGCCATCTCTGAGTTTCTCCCGCTGACCTTATGTTCCAGGTTTGTTTGTTAGTTTCACCCAGTTTAGGTTTATGTTCAGTCCTGTCCTCACTTCTGTTATTTTCACTGTAAATAAACCTCCACTTGCATCTCCATCACCGTCTGCATCTTGGGTCCTCATTTATTTATCACACGATTGTTGCCCCAGTCGTGACAGTTTCGGAGAATCAAGTAAGGAAATGTTGCGTGTTGTTACAACAGGTTGATAGTATGTTAGTAACAAAATACCTAAGTTACCTGTTATGTGTAGACACAACACTGGTTCCTCCCTGAGTTCTCTTTTTATGTTTGTATAAAAATAAAACTCACTCAGGTGTCTTCTGTACAAGCCTTTTATGCTCGACTAATTCATATCTGTTTAGTAGCTTAAGAAACAAACAAGCAACAACAATCCTCCGAAATTATCAGATACAATGACTGGATTGAAAAACAGTGAAAAAGCAGCAAGTTTCCATATAAACACTGTGAAAGAGCTCAGAAAGCCTGGAGCACTACTCAGTATCACTTTAAAATTTACAGGTAAGTCCGGTTCCATGGAGGAAACATGAAAAGAAATGGGGAGTGGCTGGAGACTTTTGCACAGTACCATGCATGGATAATATGTTATGGTTTAAGATGTTCTTTCCTGCGTGCCTCAGCTGTGTTGACCATTTCTTGGTATCACACATGTAGCAACTCGCGTTTTGTAGAACACCTTGCTCAACATTTACCTGTTATGGGAACCAGTCTGACCTGTTCAATGAAGGTGCTCCTGGTTGTTGTCACTGTACACTAAAGTGTACTAATCCTAAGTATAAATGTATACCAATTATTCTTAACATTAAGCTGAAGAATTTCTTTTGTTGTTTGATTTGATTGCTTTTTAATTGTTATTTAAAAACAAGTGTCTGTTGTTGAAAAATACTGTAGTGAACTAATCCAGTTTAAGCTAATGTAGCTTAGTGCAATCAGCATTGTTACAGTGATTGAAAGCACCATGAATCATGTAAGGAAATAGTAAAATAAAAGGAAATAAAAGCTGTTCCTGTATAGAGCTGTAACGGTCTACACAGACTTAACGAGTCTGTCCCCAGGGCAAAATACAACCTGACAACAATTGTTATAGAACTCAAAACGACACCTGCCTGCTTGTATTTATCATAGAACAAACAGTATTTTTTTTTTTTTTGAGGGGGGGGATGTGTAGCTCTCATATCAACCATATGAGCGTCATAAGTTGTAAATTAGCAAGCCAAAAGTAGGTCCGTCTAAAACGGGCCAACTGTCGTTTTAAGTTTTCTTGAAACCTGTTCAGTCACAAAGACATCCATATTTGGTGCGTTGTTATGTTGTGTCGTGCAGACTAGTCTCTGAAGTTGCGAAACATTAAAGGGCACGTTGATGTACTCATTGAGATTAGTTCTTAACATGTCATCCTCTTGGCATTACAATGCCCACAAATGCAGTTCGCTCTAAACTGAAACTGGGCACAAACAGTGGTACATGGTACTTTTATTTATTGCATTACATCGACTCAAGCAGTTTAAATTTAAGGTTTAGTAGCGCTGGGTGGTTAGCACTTGCGTTCATCCTCGTGCCCTGGATGTTTTTGTTTATTTGGCAACATAAACAGAGCAAGCACCTTCTGTTTTTCTAACACAAGTTGCAATTGGCCTGTACTTTTAACACCTGTTAATTAATTTTTTAATGTGGTGGTTTGTATCTGATTGCATTGCTCAATGAATCATTGTATAAAAATTACATAACCTGTTGTCATCTCTTTGAACAGGGATATTAATAGAATGTATTAAGGGGCTATTTGGAGTGCTACTGTCAACAGACCTGACTTCAGTAAGCTCCAAATAACAGATTAAACAAGAAAAAGACCACTGTGAACAACAACACACAAACACACACTCATACAGAATACAATCTTCCCAGAGTGTGATTTTAAACCACTGCCCCCTGAGAGTAGATATTAACAGGTGTGTTTTAAACAGGGTGTTATCATTTCGGGGTCTAAAGAAGCTCCTAATTGGCAGACTGAAAGATTTCAGGTTCCTGTTGGTGTCATGTGATAATGAGACACGGCAAAAATGAGTGAGTCACTGAGCAACACACCATGTTGTGCCTAAATCATCCACTGAAACTGTGACTCTACCTGAGCAACTGGCACGCAGCCCCCAGTGATGATATCATACAGATACAAACAAACCACCGTTTTATCTGATGACAATCCTAAACAGTATAACAATTTCCCTTACATCAGAAAATCTAACTTTTTCCATAGGAACCAGTAACAAAACATTCGTCTCATATACAAGAAGATACCTTGAGCATATGACAACTTATAACTTATAAACAGGTGCAAAAACTATTAAATAGGTCAGGTAGGTTTTACATACAAAGCTTATGGGCCTTACAGCATATAAAATAACACACAACCCCTCATCTGCAGTTTTATTTTGTTCATTTCTTTGCATCGTAACCCTTCAAGTTTGGCTAAAGGGTTGGGCAACTGAATAACAACCAAAGGCAGCCGTTACTGTGAAGTCTGAGCTTGTTCCAGACAACTCCCTTTGTCATTTTCCCACAGCTCAAGCATTCAAGTCTCTTACCTGTTGTATTAGAATTTGTACTGTTGGCTTTTGCAGGGATGCCTCAGTGCGAATACTTACGCGTTGTTATGCTTTTTAAGCACAGTTTAATTACTTGATGTTTTAAGTAACATTTTTAACAGTTACATTTAAATTTTGTTCACCATCTGAATCTTAAAATGATGTTACATGTATGTGAATGTTTTCTTATTACCCACGAGTTTGACACGAGGAGTCATGAGGTAAATGATTGCAGCATGAGGCCTATCAGGAGTAATCTGGCCCTGAAGAATCTCTCCTCAGAGTCTTAATTGTGAAAATTCCTCCCAGCCTCCTTGTGTCTGGAACCTAATCTCCATAGCCAGGCTCAAGTACCTTTAATGATCCTACCTTGGAAAAAATAGAGGTATTATGGTCCTTACCGCAGTTCTGGCTCTAAAACACTGCCTCTATTCATTTCGGGGACAATCTGATTCTCCCTCTACCTCCCTTAGCCCCCACTCACTATTCCCTCTTTTAGTAATAGTCTGTCACCTGAAATCACTGTTCCTGGTGTTTGCTATTTCTCTAACATCTCAACCCTGATGTCTTCAGAATACTGTGGAAAACTATCTGTAAGTCAAGTGGGATCTGGACTGCAAAATATACATTCTCTCTGAGGACATCCTGTAAGAGCTGCAAGTATTTAAGGACTGACATCACTGCAAGGTCAGCTTTAAACTTTTTTTGAACTACTCTTTTCATGCTAACTAATATAAATTATTTTCTTGAGGCTGTAAAGGAGGTTGACAACAAATCTATCATTCTTTTTCATTCATTTCAGCATGAAATAGCATTCTCTTTACATTTGATGCTGACAAGCAGGGCATGTGTGCTTTCAGTGAATGGTAAGAATGGTGTGAGTGCACCTGCACAGTGTAAAGTTTTTGAGAGTCTTTTCTAAAAAGCTGTTTTGGAAGACATTTGGGTTCAGCTAATGTACATTTAAACAACCATTCAATTCAGATTAAGTATTATTAATATTAGTTTATATTATTTGGACAGTCAGGATTTTTTTTCTCTAGACTGAGGCATTATTGCATTTCAGAAATAGCTTGTTTTCAGTGGATCTGTTATCCTGACTTGTATAGTTTACCAAAAAAAGGTTAACTATACTACAGAAAAGTATAACGATTCGATCTGCATATTTAGGAACCAGTTGGAGAAGCTGTTTTTTTCATAGTTCCTCAAAACCTGACATTTTAAATATGCATGATTGTTACTTCACAACAGTAAAGTAGTTTCAGTCATTGTTACTGCAACACATCAGAAAACATGGGACAATATCTTCTATGGGCAATGCTTCTGCCACACCCGTGAGTCACAAGGTAGCTTTTCCACCTGCAACGATTACCCAACTGAGACCAAAACTGACATGATGATACACGTTTGGGGTTGAGAGTAGGGATGAGAACCGTAAGGACGTCACAGCTCTGTGTAACTTTGCATGTGTCAAGCCCCTCCTCAGTTAAGTATAAAAAAGGCCCGTTCCAGACCTATTCAAACATTTACACTTGGGGATCTCTCAAGCAAGACTAGCTTTCTGGACATTTTTTGAAATACTGCAAGAAATTTTCTGAGGAAATATGGTTTCGGCTGGCTTTCAGATGCTGGGCACTGCCCTGTGCATTATTGGATGGATTGGGGTCATTGTTATCTGTGCTTTACCTCAGTGGAAAGTTACAGCCTTCATCGGCCAGAACATTGTCACAGCTCAAACTACATGGGAAGGCATCTGGATGAGCTGTGTAGTCCAGAGCACAGGCCAGATGCAGTGCAAAGTTTATGATTCAATGCTGGCCCTGTCTTCAGACCTCCAGGCTGCTCGAGCCCTTACTATCATCGCCATCCTGCTTGGTGTCATTGGCATCCTACTGGCCATGGCTGGAGGGAAGTGCACCAACTGTGTGGAGGATGAGGGCTCAAAAACCAAAATTGGCATTGCAGCTGGGGTGGTCTTCATCATTGCAGGTGTTTTGTGCCTTGTCCCAGTGTGCTGGACAGCAAACGCCGTCATACAGGAATTCTACAGTCCAATGTTCAATGCTTCTCAGAAGAGGGAACTGGGAGCTTCTCTGTTCATTGGCTGGGGAGCAGGAGGCCTCCTCATCATCGGTGGTGCATTCCTCTGTGCCAACTGTCCTCCCAAGGATAACTACTCCGCCAAGTACTCAGCTCCCCGTTCATCTGCTCCAGCTGCAAACAAGGGCTATGTTTGAGGAGAAACAAGGAAAGGGAAAAGCTGAGAAAGCCAAGAGACTAAAAAAAGACATGAATCAAATGTGTTGTGGTCTAATTGATTGATTCATGTTGACACTTTAAATATTTCAATATTTCTATCGTGCTTGTTTGAAAATTGCTAAGAAAAAAAGCCCTCCGCACCCAAAACTGGGCGTGGTGCACACAATGTTCCAAACGGTGGAGTCACAAAATCCTGCAAAGTTCATCATGCTACTTGGATTTGTTGTATTTTTCATTCATTCATTTTCCTTTGATATTATCCATTTGTATCTTTTTGCATAACATTTCATGTGTGTTCAGTGTGTTTTTTATTCATGGATGTTTTTAAACTGTAAATAAAGATGCGTTTTAAGCACTGCTCAACCAACATATTTTGTGAGTTTATCCTTTTTTTATTTATTAAAACTGTTGAATGTTAAGATTAAATGAAGTCTTATAAAAGAGGATATGAGGTAACACCTCTGTCTTACAACACACCACCCATAACCATATTTGAGTTTATAGAACTAAACCAGTGTTTCTTTTTTGTTGGCCAAAAAAGAGTCCAAGCAGACAAAACTTATACAAATCAGAAAACAATATAATTTTTAAATATATTATAATATAATTCAATATAATTAAATATAATATATTTAAGTACATTTAAAAAAAATATATATGATTAGTAGATATATAAGATACATATTTATCAAATTACTACTAGGAAATATGACTAATTTTTATGTAAAAATTCTTTATTAGATGTATGAGCAGCTTAAAGATTTCCATAATGTACTTTAAAAAGAACAGTACAGTGCCGTGAAAAAGTATTTGCCCCTTTTTGATTCATTAGTTTTTGCATATTTGTCACACTTTCAGATCATCATGTTTCATATCATCAAATAAATTTTACTAATAGTCAAAAAACTCAAGTAACTACAAAAGTAGTTTTCAAAATTGGTTTCACTTATTAGGGGAAAAAAGCAAACAGGGGTCTGTTTAGCCGTCGATAGGACGACTTACTGAGTTTCTTATCATTGGCCTTCTGCATAACCCAGTTTTGCTTGTGCTTCAGGCACAAACTGTTTTCCCAATTTAAGTGTGAAAAATGTGCAAAAAATAAGAAATCAGAAAGGGGGCAAATATTTTTCACAGCACTGTATTCTAGGAAAATAAGCCACTCCTTTTCCCTCCAAAAATGCTTCCTCTGAGTGACTCTTTAGTGAAGCGCTCCCTATCTGAGTAATTATTTGGCCAACACTGCCTCTTGCTGCAAAGAAGATATCACATCTTGCAGTTTTTTGTCTGACTGCTGAGTGAGACAAAAAAAAACTGACTCAACAGTCAAACGGTAGCATTTTAACCTTAAAAAATCTGTTAAACCTGAACCTGCAATACATCAGTACAGTATAAATGAACAAGGTTAGTCATTTATCTGATTAAAGATTTAAACATTTAGCATAATGTCTGTGTAGGTTCTCAGTCATATAGATCATGATATTCCAAGGAGCTTGAAAAAGAAGTGACTGGACTTCTTTAAGTTTTTGACAAGAGACCATCAAATAAAACAGGAAATTGCTAACACACTCAAACATATGAACTTGTCCCAGAGAGAGAAGATAAATACAAGACAGCAGGAACAGAATGGGAACACAAAAGAGGATTAAAACCCTATAGCTAAATTCAAGCAGTAAAAACACGAATTTCAATATCACAAGGAAAGTAAAGCTAACATGGAGCTCAAACATAAATTCAATCTCAAAACCAAAAGAAAGTCATAAACCCCCAAAACACAGAATAAACCTTAAGAACTTTGGAACAGGAACACAGAACTAAAGGCATGAATTAGCACCAAAAGGAACTTGTATCAGTTGTAAGCAAATCAAGGCCAAATCAAATAATCAAAATTAACACTAAGAAATAACAGAAATCTAAATATCAACAATAGCGACTAAAACTAAAGAAAGCTTAAATATTCCCAAAACTCAAAACTCTGGATCCCAGACAGAAAGACCCTGACATTTATAGCAAAATATACATACAATTACCATACAATTAACATACAAGTACCTGAATAATGATATTAGAAACATAATTAAACAATAATAGAAATAAATAGGACTCTGCTTGCACAATGATAAACCAAGAATATTCTTTTAAAAGTCAGAGAAAATAAATAGGTTTTAAACAGCTTAGCGTGGCTTAGCATATTTGATTCTGCATTTTCAGCATATTTTTACACCAAATGTCCTTCCTATTGCAACCCAAAACATCTGTAAATAAAAGAAACCACAGAAGTAAAAAATTATTGTTGTTTGCTTTTTCATTTTTCTATCCAACCTTGAAACTCTGGATTTCTGGCTGGTCAGCAATAATGAAGGTCACTAGGTCTGTTTGTGTGTAAACTCATCTGGCCAATGGCAGTTGACGACTGTGGTTTCGCATTCCCTTATGTCTGTGTCTCTTTTATTTCACACAACAAACTTTAAGCACAAGCTTACAGCAGTTCCTCTGCACTCTTTTTGACCTTAATGTATGAGAAATTAAGACAACAAGATGGTTTCTCAGGGGATTCAGATCACTGGTATAACAATGGCTATAGTTGGCTGGCTCTTGGAGATCACAGCATGCGGCTTACCCATGTGGAAGGTCAGTGCTTTTATTGGTGCCAACATCGTCACAGCTCAAACCTTCTGGAAGGGCTTGTGGATGGACTGTGTGGTGCAAAGTACAGGCCAGATGCAGTGCAAGGTGTATGACTCGATGCTGGCTTTGGAATCTGACCTACAGGCTGCTCGTGCCATGATTATCATCGCGATCCTTGTTGGAGTCTTTGGACTGATCTTGTCAGTTGCTGGTGGAAAATGTACTAACTGCATCGAAAAGGAGCGATCCAAAGCAAAAGTCTCCATCTGTTCTGGGGTTCTGTTCATCATCTCGGGATTTCTCTGTCTCATTCCAGTCTGTTGGTCTGCCAACACCGTCATCACCAATTTCTATAACCCAATGATGATGAATTTCCAGAAATATGAGCTGGGATCTGCGCTGTATATTGGCTGGGCCGCTACTGGTTTGCTCTTATTGGGAGGGGGGCTCCTGTGCTGGAACTGCCCACCTAAATCTGAGCGCCGCCACTATGTGCCCAAATATGCACCTGGAAAGTCAGTCTCCACATCAAGAGAATATGTTTAAGGTGGTATTGCATTTCCACATGGACTCTCAAGGTCACAGAAATAGCAAAGGTAGTAAACTGGAGATTGCTTTAAAGCTAAGATATAAATTATCCACATATTCGAGATAATGTAAATATGGCTTAAAACTACTGCTTGTTGAACGATGAGGTTTGGTCGTGCTTTGTGTGGTTGTCAGGGTGATCTTTTCTACGTCGGACGTTTTGTTTGGCCAAACATGTGAAGCTTATATCATAAACAATGGCTGCATTCCATTTGGAGGTACCAGCAGGGCTTTGAGACTGAGTCATTTGATTCACTGTCACATCTGGATGAAATGAAATGTTATTATTGTTATTGTATTAGGACTGGTTTAAAATACTTTCCTTAAACACCAAAGTATTCTGTGAAAGGGGCTTTTGTAATGTCTAATTTATAATGGAATGTAGCTGTGTTCAGAATTTCTGTTATTTGTAGCGTGATTATGATCAGTGTAAATTTTAAGTCAGTTTTCTGTCAATGACAAATTGTATTGATTAATATTTATGTCTTCTCTCACATATTATCTAAACATCCAACAGCACATATATAACTGCTACTCAAGAAATGTGTCTTTAAAATTGTTTTCTTTTGCAAAACACTCTTTCTTGCCTTTGATGTATTTTCCTGAAACTTCCAGATGGAGAGAATTCTCTTCATTTTTCTGTTGGTGATCACTTGTAACATTTCAGCACTGCAAATAAACTTTGTTTTAACTTTGTTCTGCATTCTTGCTTTTTATTTTGGTCAAATTTTAGTGTATAAAGTATATTATGGAGACAGGTGAAAGCAAAAGGTGAGGCAAGTACACAACCCTCTACTGTAACTAAAGAGCAGATTAAGTACATCATTACTCTGATAATCTATTTTGCATGTCAGTTTGTCTCAAAGTATGCCATAGATCAATACTGAAATATAGTATAATAAAACTATCAACGTGAGCAATAGCTGTAATATGACATAGTGAGGATTTTTTATAACTTAAACGCACCCACTGTTGTGTTAACAAGCTTTAGTTTCAAATTTTTATAAAAACCTAAATCATATATCACTCCATAAGAAAAAGGTGTGTTCTACTAACAAGCGAAAGTGTGAAAGTGGTTGGCAGAGCAGTATCGGGTTACTGGTATAACACGTGAGCACTTTGTTTTTACCCAACAGACATCTCGGTCATGGGATATTATGGGTTTTCTTTAAAGTATCACCATCAGCTGTATTTTATCTCATTCCTTTTATGTGGTTATTATCAAAACTAAAACAAATAATCCAGTTTCTGTATGTACCTTTGATCGCCTGTCAGATTGGCATAAAGTATATGAGAGAAATAACTAAAGGCAGGCTACAGAGAAAACATTGTGAGTCTAAATGTGTTTGGTTTGTACCTCATCGCTTTAGTTATTTCTTTGTTTTTTCAAAAGCTTTTATTTTAGTTTTAATTTTAAAAAATGACAGCTAACAATTTAATTACTGAACCACAGAGAGAAGCAGCATGTCAGCTTTGTTATTCCCTAAATAAATGAAATGAAGAAATACTGGCGAGTGTGTTAAACAAAATAAATAGATGAAAATAAATAAAATTAAACCATGTGTTTCATTTTAGCTTATGGCCATACCACCTTGAGCTCACAAATCCGTCTGAATTTAGAACTAAACATTTAAAACAAATTTCCCAGTAAAAATCTATTTAGCTTCAAGTTACTCAGTTTTAGTGAGTGTGTGAAGGATGGAGACGGGTTATCCCAGTTTCAGGTACTTTAAACTTGTGATTGTTTCATCGAAAACACTTATTATCACTGCGAGAAAAAGATCCACATATGACACTGTGATTTGTTTTGTTTTAAAAGGAAGCACTATAAACATTTCGTTTAATATTAGATTTTATATTTAACCGATTGCCTGATTATCTAATCAGCTGTAGGCTAATTATCCATGTGTGTGTATGTGTGTGTGTGTGTGTGTGTGTGTGTGTGTGTGTGTGTGTGGGGCATCACAGTTTAAGCTGGTTTCAGGTACGTTAAAGTTGATAAGGGATTATTACCAACCAACAGGCCAATAATGACAATGAAAAGAGATCTGCATAGGAAACTGTGCTATTTAAAAACAAAAGGCAGGCACTGTTTAAAAAAATCTGTGGCACTCCTTCAGCTTTAGAAGCAGAGGAATCTTGTTTGGCCAGAGGAACTCATCTGACAACAGGACTGCCCTCCTCCTTCACATTCTCTCACAAAAAACAGAGCTGTGTCACTCTGCAACTGAACCTGTCCACCGAAAGACTTTTCTCTCCTGGCGTAGACGAAGCTGCTAGACAATGGGGAAGATTGGCAAGGAAACGGCAGGTCAGGTCATAAGCTTCATAGGCGTCGTTGGGGTGGCAGTGACCTGTGGGATCCCCATGTGGCGAGTTACCTCTTACATCGGAGCCAACATTGTTACAGGCCAGATTGTATGGGATGGTCTGTGGATGAACTGTGTGATGCAAAGTACTGGACAGATGCAGTGCAAGCTGAATGACTCTATCATGAGCCTGACGACTGATCTGCAGGCTGGCCGAGCACTAGTCATCATCTCACTTCTCTTTGGATTTATCGGCTTTATCATCTCGTTTGTTGGAGCCAAGTGTACCAGCTGTCTGAAAAAAGATGCATCAATGGCAAATGTGGTGATCATAAGCGGCTGTCTCATCATTATCTCTGCTATCCTGATCTTAATCCCCGTCTGCTGGTCTGCAGCTTTCACCATCTCAGACTTTCGGAACCCCTTGACTGTAGCAACACAGAGAAGGGAGATTGGATCTGCTATCTACATTGGATGGGGCTCAGCTGTACTTCTTCTGATCGGTGGGATCATCTTAACCACCTCCTGTCCTCCCCAAAAACAAATGTATGGATACCCTAGCTACCAACAACCAGTGTATGCTTATTCAAGACCAAACTCAGCCGCATATGGCCGTGTGTATGCTCCACCATCCAACCAACCATACACAGTCGCAGGTGGTTATGCTCCCAGCAAGCCATATGCAGCCCCAGCCTCATATCCTGCTTCACAATATCTATAAAAATGAAGGAAGAGATCAAGGACAGAGACTAAAAACCTTGCCCTGACAGCTGCTGGACTTTCAAATGACCACTGGGAAATACAATCACACGAAAATATCAGATGTACATACTGCATTATTCTGATACACTGATGTAAAACAACTAGACTTCTACACATACTTTTACCTTTAAGATTGTGAAGCTATGATGTAAAAGGAATCTGTGTGTGTGCTGAAAATTGCATTGCTTTTCACAAGGAAGTCACTGTCTGATATATTTATTTCCCTGTTATGAACTACAGATTTAGCAGTGTGCTTCTTTTCTGTAACTGCCACTTTATCTTGTACATTTTCATGTGAATTTCAATAAAAACATTTGTCTTACCTGTAACCTGCCTGTTTACGGAGTCATTGTTTATTAAAACATCATGAACGATTATCTACATAAAAATATACCCCAAAACTTTACAAGTTCAGATCCCTAGATCTAGAAATGCAAACACCAACGTAAATTTTCTGCTAAAATCTTTAATAAATTGATAGGTAACAACTGATATTAGTGTCTGATTCCACAAAATAAAAATAAAAATAAAAATCACAAGGAGTGCGGTTTAATCTTTGATAATAATGTAAAATATTGATAGTGATATCAACAGAGTGGAAAATAAATTGGAAAAAAATCAACTCGATTGGTACAGTATTTCTGATAAATTAAAAAAATGAAAATAAAAATATACAAAACAATAAATTGACTCAAAGCTATGATCAATTTCTATTATGTCTAAGGACACCTAAAGTAGGAAGGCATCTTGTTAGAGAATGCCTTGACATCCATTGAAACTAACTCCTGTATTTGTTTGTAAAACCCGAAACCAGTGACTGAACCGGATGTCCCAGTAACCTGCCCAACCAATGGTTGACCAATTGCAGAGGATTGTTTGAATGAGGAATTCTAGTCCTTTTTCCAGCCCTCATTTACATACTGACGTGCATCTGATCGAAACTAAGTCTAGTCTGCGTACAGATAATGTGAAGAATCTGGCTGGGCTGGTAAATCAGTCCTGGTGGTTTCAGGTCAGAGGGAAGGATCATTTGACTCCACCTTCAAGAGAGTAGAAGCACCTTTATATGTGCCATGGTCTTAGTTAGAGTTCACAACCTAAGTGGACGTGCTCGTGAAACCTTTAAATCCTTTGCTTCGTTCATCTCCAAGGGACTCAAGCCTCATCATGGTGTCACTGGGACGACAGATGCTGGGCTTTGCCCTGGCAATCATTGGCTTCGTGGGGATCATCGTCACTTGTGCCTTGCCTATGTGGAGGGTCAGCGCCTTCATTGGAGCCAACATTGTGACGGCGCAGATTATCTGGGAAGGTTTATGGATGACCTGTGTCATGCAGAGCACTGGCCAGATGCAGTGCAAAATCTATGATTCTCTGCTGGCTCTTCCTCAGGATCTCCAGGCTGCCAGAGCTCTTGTGGTCATTGCTATCATGGTTTCCTTTATTGGGGTTATCGTCGGCATTGTTGGAGGAAAGTGCACCAACTTTGTGGAGGAACCAAGATCCAAAGCCAAAGTGGCCATTGCTGCTGGAGCTATCTTCATCTGTGCTGGTGTGCTTGTTCTCATCCCTGTATGCTGGTCTGCCAACTCCATCGTCCAAGATTTCTACAACCCTACCCTGATAAGTGCCCAGAGGAGAGAGATTGGGGCTGCACTCTACATTGGCTGGGGCACAGCTGCACTTCTAATCCTGGGTGGTGCCCTCCTCTGCAGCTCCTGCCCACCCAGAGAGAGCCCAGAGTATCCAGTGAAGTATGGCGGCCCCAGGTCCACAGCCACCAGCCGAGCCTATGTCTGAAATTCTACTGAGAAGGACTATAAATTATTTTAATTTTCTTCAGTAACACTCCTTCATTCTGATTGTCTAATTATACCACAATTTGTATGTCACTTTCTGTGTTAAGGTAACAAACTATTCTGACTTTCTGTGAAATTCAGAATTCTTTGGTAGACGCATGAGGGTTGTGTTTCTTAGACATCAAAAGTCCAAAGTTGTGTGGATCACAGAGCTTCCAGCACGCCCCAAATCTGGACTGAATGAAACTATTTATACTGAGCTTGTATCAAACCTAACTATCCTCTGTAGTCTTGTGGGAAATCAAACATGTGCTTGAAGAATGCTATGCAAGTAAATGTGTATTGTACTACAGTTATATTATGAATTTATTGTAAACAATATTTAGAAATATCTCTATTCAGCTGCAATATGAAAGTACTGATTTTGTTTACTGCACTGATAATGGTAATAAAACATTTTACCTAATTATATAATTTCGTTGGTGTCTTTTTAGATCACTCAGAAATTTGTTTACTGGTTTAAATGAGGTGTTTTTATTTTTTTTTATTTATCGTTACACAGAGCCTAAGCAGTTAAAACATTTAGCCTTTGTTGCCGCCTTCATGGCAACAAAAGCTAAATGCTCCTTCGTGGCACCTTTTAACAAGTTTAGCCAGTTTCACACCATGACTGCTAGCGATAGCCTTTTCATAAAACTGGTTTTGTGTGTTAGTCAGTGAGTAAATAGAACACCCTTAACACCCATAAGACACTACAAGTTAAAAATAATGTCAATTAAAAGGCATTTAGTTCTGTTTTGAATGTAAACTATAGGGATATTATTGCATTATGGTCAATATAGTGAAAAAATGAAGTAGAGCGGTGGCCCACAGATATGTTTTTGGACACCTATGTTTTACTAAGCTCAATAAGTGGCGAAAGTTTATTCATGGATTCAATGGATTCTCTTTGGAAGGAATGAGGTGGGAAGTAACAAAGTACAAATACTTGTACTTAAGTAGAAATTTCAAGAATCTGTTATTTGATTATTTCTGATAGTACTCGCTTTTACTCCTGCTCAACGTGTAAGTAAGTAAGTAAGTAAAATTTTATTTATATAGCACATTCCTAGATAAAAGATCACAAAGTGCTTTATGAGGTAAAAAACAGTCAAAAGTTAACAAAAAGCAATTTTAAAAAGATGTGTTTTTAGCTGCTTTTTGAAAGTAATGACTGAGCAGATCTTAAGTTCTGAGGAAGAGAATTCCACAGTCTGGCGGCCACAGTGGCAAAAGCTCTATCACCCTTGGTTTTCGGTCTTGTATACTGAATAACAAGTAGGCCCTGATCACAAGACCTCAGGGACCTACTAGGGGCATAGGGCTGTAAAAGTTCAATGATGTACGCTGGTGCTTGTTCTTGAAGAGCTTTAAATGTTAGAACCAGAATCTTAAAATGGACTCTGAATTCAACGGGGAGCCAGTGCAGCTGTATAAGCAATGGTGTTACATGGGAGTATTTCGATGTTTTTGTCAGAAGCCTTGCTGCAGCATTTTGGACAATCTGCAGACGCTCCAGGGAGTTTTTGTTTAGACATATAAACAGTGAATTACAGTAGTCCAATCGTGATGAAATGAATGCATGAATAACAATCTCCAGTTCAGTATGAGATACTATAGGGCTCAATTTAGAAATGTAATTCTTGTATCATTTATGGCACTAGTCTCTGGAACGGTTAAAGTGGAACGGTGTGTGCTAAAAAGCAATAATCCACCAAAAATGTATTTCCGGTCTTTATATCGTTGCCCATATGGTGAACAGGTGACAGTCTCATGGTCACAGTACTTCAGCTAAAAGACGCATAGAGGGAGTGACATGTTGTGCAACTTTTAAATGCAAGTATTTAGTGAATATCAGCTAACACAAACTGTTTGCCACATAGCGTGTCTGCTAGATAAAGGTACAACAGTTTCCCGGGGAGAGAAAAGAATGAGAGATAACCAGAGATTGAGAAATATGTAAGAAAGGCACGACAGCACAAAAAGAAGAGAGGTTATGTTTAAAATTAAAGACTGTTAGGAGTCTTTACATGAAGCATGTAATGTGCTCATTAAAAATCAGGTGTTACATCTTTTTATGTTTTTTTTTCATGTAGCGAAATTTCCTGCAAAACAAACTGAGGTATGCTAGCCTCAGGTCATTGTAAGTTTAATGGGCTTGTGATGCTTAGATTACGTCACACCAACTCTATACTGCCGTGTATAAGTGCAGTATCAACAGTATGCTGTCAGTGTAGGGGATGGAAATCACCCAAGGTAGCCTGTTGAATTCACTTCATCCACAAAGAGCAGTAAACCTCAGTGCAGCAAAAGCAGCAGCACAGGTTAGCTGATCAAGCCTGTACACAAAGAAAGTATACTAGAACGCACAACAGTAGTGTGTTGTGAATCTTTTACCCATGCTGAATAACTACAACCAATTTTAAGGTTCCCCAACTGCTGAACTCCATTTTTAACCCTGGTGTTCAGGGTGTGTTCGCTACAGTCACACAACCTGTTATGCTGTCTGTCCATTGTTATCTAGTATCACATTCCAGAGTTTCTCTTTGTGGTTAGACAGTGAATCTGCTGAAACCAGCGGGGCTGATTACTCTGAGCTCACGTGTCACTGACATCACAGCCTTCTTCTCTGAACGAACGAAAAATAACAACTAGGTTTTGGTTACTCAATTAACAGAAACTCCAACGTGTTGTTTCTACTTCCATTATACATAAAACACTTATAGTAGTCTTGAAATAAATAGTTGACATTTGAACAAATGTAAATATAAGGAAATATTTATGAAAAGAAAATCAATTTGGCATTATGTTGAATAGATTTCTCACTACTAGTATTCAGATTGAGGGATTAAGATATATTTCACTGATCCTCTCAGGGAATTTTATTCTATTTATTCAACCCATCCTAAATATTTATAAGAGCAAACAGCCAGTATATTGAGTCCAGATGTGAGCAATTGCCTTGATCAAGGGCACAGTGACAAGAGAATTAAATTAACACATGTGACATTTTGACAAAAAGACAAAAAATAAGAAAAACAAAATCTTATCAACATTTCAAAATGTCAAACAAACTGAAATACTGATGCAGTGTCTCGTTTCCTAGAGAAACGTGTGTGAGAACAGACAAGCTTTGGCACCGTTCATCTAAGGTTTTGGATCATTAGGACACATTTGAAACAACAAAATAGAGTTCTGTCTAATTAACATCCAATATTGATTTATTTAAAAGTAATTTATCCAAACCTTCATCAGTGACATTGTGAATCAAGCTAGATACAGGATCACTTCACAACAAAGCTGAAGTTTTCTCAGACCCCAGACATAATGGAGAAGACAAATATATATATTTATAAAACAGATAAAGACATTTTTTCATATGGGGGTTACAAATACTATGTACTGAAAATGAAAACACGCTTGAGAACATGAGAGCAAAGCAGAAACAATGAGCCCCTCCCTGTTTCCGGAAGCTTTTACTCAGTACTTGGATGTCTGTGTTTTGTTCCTTTTACAGTAGTTCTCACTATGACCACATTTCGCCATGACGGCACATACACTTCGACACACACTGACTCACAAAGCGAAATCTGCTCTATTGCGGCTGAAAATCTGTTTACAGAGTTTACAGATTTGGAGTTTACATATCGCACCTTTATCCTTTGTTTTTGTTGAAAAAATGTATTTTGTTTTGGTTTTTGATGTTCAGAACATGAGGAAAGCATTCAGTTACCAAAGTCCTTGTCCTTCTGAAAAATGATAGAAGCCTGAATGTTTAATATTCCTAAACACAAAGAATCCAGCATAGTCGTCTCTGTCA